TTTATAGACTAAAAGATTTTTATTGTAATAGGGAACCTTTCATAAAGATCAGATTGGGCAACAAACAGGTGATAAGCTCCCATGGCTCTTTTGGGATCAACTGAAATCTTTTTTGGGTAATAAGAAATATTAGAATTACAGCAACGCCCTGTACCAACTTTGAGAATTTAATACTTCATTATTTAGAACAACCAAAAGGAGAATTTCAAAAATGTATAGGTTATTATTGTAATCAGAAATAGGAGATCCACCATATGGTTTAAAGAAAGCTTGGGATACTGATCTTGGTAATCCCATACAGGAGATAAATTGGCAGAAGTTATAGAAACCGAGTGGTTTACTTCAGCTTCAGTGCAAGAACTGCAGTGGAAGATAATACATTGTTGGCACTTGACTCCTGTTATATTGGCACATATATAACAAAATTATTCTTCCAAATGTTGAAGCGGTTATAAAAAAAAAAAAGGATCATTCTTTCATTCATGGTAGTCATGCAATAAAGTTATACCCTTTTGGAGTAAAGCCTTTGGGGAAATAAATACTATCACTAATCAAAGAATTGAATGCTCCCCAGTGCTAGGCTTACTGCATTTATTTACAGGACCAAACCATAACCTTAAAAATAAAAGAACTTATTATTTATTTAACTGTAGCAGCCAAAATAATTGTGCAACATTGGAAAAACCTCTAGATAATATAACAATTGAGTTGTGGATTAACAAGGCCTCTTCAATTGCTACATTAGATAAAATCGCAAAGTTAAATTAATGAGATATCAGAGGCAGGAACCACTATTCTATCAAATCTGGATAGATTTTATGGTTTATCTCAGTAGCTATAGACTATAATCTGGTATACTTTATATATATGGCAAATTTTCATATGTACAGTATCTGTCTCTATTCTCACTGCAGTAGATCTCTTTTGTGTATTCTATATATTTTTTTCTCTTTATGTATCTTGGATTTATGTTAATATAGTTACCTGATACTGTTTGTTAAAATCTAATAAAAATATATTAAAAAAGAGATATGGGCTGCAGATAAGATAAAGGCATCATTATGGGGAAGATGGTAAAAAAGAGTTATTGCCAGGATGTGTTTGAAGCAAAGAGGAAAATACACTTCTGATAAAAATTCTAGGCATATAGTCACTAGGTATATTGCCACTAGATAGGATAGACCAGGAAATCACCTCCACAGGAAGGTTAAAACCATATTTCCATCAAAGTCATCTTCCTTACTCTCTACACATACCATCCAGAAGTTTTTTATTACTTCCAATGTAGCTGCTGTTTCAGCTGTTTTCTTTGATCAGATTTTGGGCCCAGACGGTGAGGTTCCTAGTTCAAATACTGGAGTCGCTGATCATTGTCTTGCCTTTGATCATGGTCTTGACTGGGTTGTGTGGTTTTTGTTTTTGTTTTTTGTAACTGCAAAGAGGCCCATTCAAAGAACAAGGTAAAACATAGTTAAGGGATAAAACAAAAAAAACATTCTGTGCACAGAAAAAAAAAATGGAAACAGCTAGAATTTGAAAATACTCCCATCAAAGAAGGGAAAATATGAAGCAGAAAAGCAGAATAGATAAATATTTATGTTTGGAGATCATGTCCCATTAAGAAAACCATTACATTATTATATATGATTGAATTTGGCTAAAATACTAGTTTATACCTGTAAAAAGAATCTGAAGAATTAATTGTCAGCAAGAGACCATGCCTGTTGTAGAAAGTGGCAGATTTATTGTGTATTCTTTGAAGAGGCCCCAAATCTCTGCTTAAGATGATCAGTCTGGAATTAAAACCTGCTGCAACTTTTTTAATGCAGAGTCATCGCCGGGGAAGAATCTAGTTTCAAGCTAGAGTCTGGAGGTTTCTCAATTGTAATGAATCTTCTCATATTATAGCATAATATGGAAAGTATATGTCAGTGTTAAAGGCAAAAATATAACTAGTGATGAAATCATTTCAACGTGTCCCTAGTTGATATAAGATTATGTGTTTTAAAGCATATGGCAAAGATATTTCCTCAGTTATTTCACCTCCTAACATTTATTGCTAGGAAAGTACTTTTCCTGGAAAATTTCCAAATTATGTTTGTACAATTACTGTTTGCCATAGTGAGAATACTGATTTCTTTATACTTTTTTGTTTCCTTTTATTTGGTTTAGATTTTTTAACAGAGTGCTCCACTAATCAGAGGGACTATAATGAGATTAAACAACGTCTGAATGAAAATTGTCTTGATATACAGTGCAGTTTGGAATCTTTATGGCAATTTCATAAAATAGAGATGGTTCATAATAAAGATTTGGAAGAAGAATTCATTGCAAAAAGGTGAATTGTTCTTATATGAAAATTCAGATCATTAATTATTTTATTTAATAGACATTTCTCCCATACTTGAGTTCAAGAAAGTTTATTGTGGGACACATGTTCCTTCATGCATCTTCACAACAATCTGAGATAGTGATCAGCCTAAAGTCCCTGTTGGAGTAAGGATTTGAACTGGTGTCTCCTTGTCAAAGTCTGGTGCATGTGTCTGATACGCATGTTTCTGTGAGGAAAAATGCACCTATAATATGGAATATGTGGTCAAGTTCAGCAGAGATCCTGGGATTTAGCTTTGCTTTCCCAGTTAACTAATCCCTCTTCTAGTTACAAGCCATACGCTAGGATTCAGTCAGATTCTATTAATCGAAGTCTCCCTCATTACTTCAAATAATTCCCCTATTATCTTGGGCCCCTCCTTTAATCCTGAAGCATATATATGACAAATTCTTTCCATTCCAATAACTCATTATTCTTTATCATGGATCTCTGTCACTTTTCCTTAAAAAAAATAATTACATCTCAAAATTCTAAACAAATCTGTATGATCCTATTGGAGCCACACAATTATCAAGGGGAAATATTCTGAATTTTTTGCTGGAGTTTCACCAGTTTCAGAGTAAAATCAGACATTATGTTCTTTATGTTTGGTAGGCAGTCTCATTTCTATTTCGGACTAGAATCTAGCGTTACATTGACTTGAATCTCTAGAATGTTTGTGCAGATTTACGGCTGCCTATATTTATAAGATTATAGGCAGGCTGGTACCAATAAAATCAACTTTATCTATTTATTGCTTTATTGCATTTTATTTATATTACTTCCATTATTAGGGTGTGTATGTGTGTGTGTGTGAGAGAGAGATGAAATTTTCTGCACTAAAGGCACCGAAATGTATTAGATTGAATAAATAAACTCTAAACCTCCTGTTCGCTTTGAAAATTCATATTCACGTATTACATAAATAAGTATTGCATTATATAAGCAAGCTGAAGGCTTGAATGTCTCAGGTACTCCTTATTTTTGCGCAAGCTATAATTTGCTAATTGAGATACAGCAGCAAGCTATGGTTTATGTATGCCTTCTAAAACAGACTGCAAGGATTTTCAATTTTCATTGCATATTTTATGCCAGTGGTGGGTGGGACTGGAGCAAGCAGAAAGCAAAGCAAAAAGTAGGATGGAGCTATCTATTCTCTCTTTCTTTTTTCCTCCTTACATAGTCAGTTGTTTGGAGAAGGTACAGATCACACTTGCTAGACGTCACTTGCTTTGAAACCAAGATGAAGCTACAGAAAATTAGGCTGTAGGTTAATTAGGCCATGTAGGTAATACATGGCCTTGGCAATGCATTTCTATCCCTTGTACTGGACTAAACACACAGGTACCACATCTGGTGTCTATTACTCTTCTTATTATCCTGTCCCTACTCCCTGGGGCATGAGCTTCATTGAGAGAAAGATCCCTGTTAATTATAAGGTTTAATAAATGTAGATTGTTGTAACGTGCAAGACATTGAATCCTGAAATTCAGAATGTAGTAGTAATAGTACTAGTAGTAGTTAGTCGTTTTCCAGTTGGAGACCAAAGAAGCACTGTTTAAAATTAACCAAACAATATACTCTAAAGAATACATTTAAAAAACACAGAAACCTGTGGAAAAGCTTCACAGATTTATTACACTGTTAAATGTCGAAAAGCAATGGAATAGAATTTCTGATATTGCTGGAGATCTCAGGCGATCTGTTGGCTAGTGAGTATTCTTCCACTCGGAGCTGTTGTGGCTGTTAATCAATAGGGCCATTATTAGGAGAGCCTACCAAGCCATATAAAAAGAACAGTGCAAAAGTACATAGGATACCGATTCTGTTTCCCCCAGTTGACAGGGACAGGGATGCTTTTGCACTGGACTATTATTAAGCCTTCTAGCCATGAAGAGGTAAAACACTGAATCTAGCGTGTGCGAGGGCTCTCCTATAAGCTGGGCATAGAATATTGGCTAAATAATTAGAATAGGAGAAAGATTTTCCCAACAGACCCATCTCATACAAAGTGGGTAAAATACCTAGATTTTTCTGGGTGCCTTGTCAAGAGTCTGGTACTTCCGCTTCATTAAGGATTCTCATTCATTCATTTAGGCCAGCTGAGGTCAGATGTTGAACTAATAAGTTATAAGTCCAAATGTATGCCTGCCTCTTATGTGGGCAAAAACATTATACTGTAAGGTCAAGGAAGCTAAGGAGCTACCAGGAAAAAAAAAATGTATTGAATAAACATTTCTGATGGCAAAGCTGAATTCAGATACAAGCTCTGTAGATTCCTATCCCAGCAGGGATACACAATAGGGAATTCTTAATAAGGTCCTTAGAAAATTGGACTGGACAAATTGAAGAGGGCCTAGTCAAGTATAAATATTCTCACCATATACCAAATGTCTGGTGACCTTTGCTCTCACACTTCTTGGCTTTTCCACTAAAATCAACTATAGTATCTATTCCTATGGGATTAATGCAAACTATAAATAATTGTAATAAATAGAAATATATGATTTGTATTAAACGTAAATCCACGAATGCAAAAGAAATGAAGTGTATCAGGCTAAAGCTTCAGTTACGGAGTGACTTGGCATTCAGTATGAAGTCCGTAATTTGATGGGAGCAAGAATATAACAAAATATAAATGGGGGGCGGTCCAAGATGGCGTTAGGGTAGCAGCTATGTTAATTTACATAAAATGTGTAACCCTCCTTGAACACATTATCTCTTTTATTGTTAGGACTAAGTTACGTGAAGAAGGAAAGCAAGATAAAGAATTCTCTAGCTTTTTAGTTGTCTCTAGAGATGAAGTGCTACAAATTTGTCAGAATGGCCTGGGTACTGGTCATTCCAAAAGAGAACTAAATATCATGAAAGAACTAGGAAATCCTCAACTTGGAGTTTATTTGTTCCGATATGTTGATATTGCTTTGAATTATGCATCCAAGCATTCAGTTCCAGTAGAAAATATAATTATTTTCAGGGTAAGTCTTTATATTTAAAAAAAAAAAGAAGCAATTTACTCTGTAATGCGGGGAATGGTTTTTGGTTTGGATCCAAAAGTACCCTTTAATCTTTGGAAGGAATTTGTCCCAACAGATTTAAAACTGAGTATAAGTTTGAGTATAAAATGGGCTTGTATATGGGCATTTGAAAACTGAAAAAGTGTAATTACCCAATTTTTTAAAATGTAGGTAGAAATCACATGGGCAGTGCAAAGGGAGGCAAACAATGAAACATGCATGATGACATCATCAAATGTTTTCATTTGCTTGCATCTGATGTTACATTGTGATGACGTCAATCTGTGTGGGTGTGTCACTTTGGTGTGGCTGTAATTTGGTGCAGACGCTGCTAATTGAAACAAAATGTCCATAATTGTTCCAAGGATTATTTCTAAAACACTTTACCAGAGTCCGTACTATTATTAGGCCAACTGCATGGCTAGAAGATTTCAATTAAAAAAAACTCATTAGGCAAAGGAATTAGTGTAAGAATCCAGGGGGAAAAGGAGGAGAATATGTCTGAAATTCAGACTTTGTTTAGGAAAGCCAGCAGTTTCCTCTATACCTGTTAAGACAGAATTTGCAAATATGTCGCTCTCATCCAACAATCTAAGAACATCATCTGTTACAGGAATGACTCCAACATCACTTTATTCTGGAGTTCATTTGCACTACTAACACATTGCAGAAACAGTGGCAAACAAATAACAGTTTTTGCTGAAACTCAGGCTTAAGCTTTAAATATCTGCCATCATCAGGGCAGAATAGCGGTGCCACTTGAACCCCAGTGTCTTATTTATCCCTTTCTCAGAGTTCAGCAAAAAGGGCAGGCTAACCCCTGAAGTCCTTGGATTTTTGGCAAAATGTGGGAAAGAACCAAAATGGGAGGGATAGGTGGGAAAGCACAAGCAGAGTAAAAGAAGAAAAAGTCAGTATAATTAAGGGGATATTCATACATTTTTTCCATCTGAAGTACCCAGAGAGAGCCTTCTTAATAAACAGCTCAGGTATAAGTTGTAACATTTTGAGCCTTACTATGTTAAAACAGTCCTCATCTTCATGTTTGCTACTGCTTTTTAATAGCATGATGGAAAGGTTTTCAGAATCTCAGAAATGGAAGACTGTACGTAGCCTACAGAATACTCATCTTTGTTATAAGAGTCATAACTGGGAATAATTTAAAACTACCACATATTGACATAAAGCACTTTATTTTTTAAGGTTCATAGCACCAAAAAAAGTTCAGCTGAATTGTACTGCTATTAATCTAGTGCAAATATATATGACACTGAAAAAGTTTTGTTTGCTTTGTATGGCTAGGTTCTTTTAGGAAGAGTTAAAAAAATCCAACCACCTAAAGGCCAAAAGAAAGTTGTATTGGATCCAACTCCAAAGTTTGATTGCCATATGTCTAGAGTTCATCCTTCACTGAAGGATTCCTTGGAGGATCAGGCTGTTGGTTCTTTGGTAAGCAGTGTTTTAATGATTTTTTTTAGTGAGAAGATACAACATGATGTCCTATATTGGCATTTTTTTTGAAGCACAGTTATTTCATGTTTTAAGTTTATAATAATTGGACTTTGAGGGGGGTATATGGTTTAGAAATAATATATTCAGAAGCTACAGCAAAACTTGAATATAACCTTATACAAAGTCTACTCAAACAAAAAGTATTTGGTGAAAAAGACATCCATTTCTGACTTCATTATAAAGAAGGCCCTCTCAGGATGAACAAAAATGAGCATTTCATATCAAGAATTGAGGGCTGGTATTTCCAGTAACTACCAGCAAGAGATTAAAACTTGGAAAAGTGGAAATCTTACCCTGGATCACTGAGAACCAGAAAGGGGCTTGTGATTCAATGCAGGAGAGATTATCATAAAATATTGAGGGTTGGGGTTTGGTTTGGTTTGGTTTTTGCATCATTCAAGCCATTGCTAGTATGGAAATGTCCCAATTTGTCCAAGCTTATGAACCACTGTTTGTTTGTTTGTTTCTTTGTCACATTTATATAGCCACCCATCACACACAAAGTGACTCTGGGCAGCATACAACAATTAAATAAAATAACAAATGGATAAAAACAAGCATTATAAAAAGATAAAAAGTTATTAAAATAAAAAAACATCATAAATTTTAAAAAAAGTTTAAAATATACAAAATATATATTTTACTAGCCAGGACAGATATAATAAAACTGCCTTTTTATATTTTTTGTTCTCCCACCCTGTCCTCACAGAATTAAGGAGAGAGGCTGTACCACAGGTGGCATCTGTTCAATTTGGGGTTTGACTTTAGTAACTAGGTTGACAAGCCAACAGATTGTCAGACTTAGGATGTCATCCAAACTCAGGCCATGGATCAAACCAAACAATCCTAAATAACTCTATCCTCAATTGTCCAGTTTTTCAGTGTGTGCTTTTTATATCTCCCTCCATCCCCACCCCCCAACTCCTACAGCAAAGTATGCCTGTACTTTGCTAACCTCAGTAAGTTCCCTTTTCTTCTTTTGGCCTTCTCTTTAATCTCCTGCCTTCACATCCAAATCATGCTGTTTCTCTAATACAGTGTTTCTCAACTTTGCCAACTTTAAGAAGTGTGGACTTCAACTCCCAAAATGCCCCAGCCAGCCATGGGGAATTCTGGGAGTTGAAGTCCACACATCTTAAAGTTGGCAAGGTTGAGATACACTGCTCTAATACATTGATGAATATACTGCCAGTTGTCTTCTTTCTTCAGATACTTGGGTTCCCTGGGCACACCCAGCTCCTCATTCTTATTGACATGTTAACTCGGCTTCCTTTTTATTCTTTCCAAGAGTTGACATTTTACTTCCCTTTGGAAAGTTCCATTTACTGCTTTCTAAAAACAAAACTTGGTTTCTAAAGTGTTAATATCTCATGATGTCACATGAAAAACCAGTCAACAGGATATTTTCCTCCTTCTGTTCAGATCCCCAATCCTGTAGAACACATTTGAAGGATTGTTTGAAGGGGACTGCAAGGAAAGGGAGAATCCTTTTCCTGAATGGAAGGATTTAATCATCAGCACCTGCAGGAGGCCGATGATGAAATGGTGATGTCATGACACAGTGATACACAATCATGTGTACCCAACATCAAAATCCAAAAAAATGAATGGCTGGGATTTGGGCTGTGATATTGCCATGCACATTTCAGTTTTGGACTTATAAATGGTTGGAGAAGCTGGGAGGAAAAATGTGTCTACTGGGCATGCAGTAACACACTCATCCCAGCAGACACATAGCTTTTTTTTGAGGTCCCATATAAAAGTATATGATGGGACAGTATAGAATTGAGCCAAACCAGCATATTCTCCCTGCCAACATTCTTTAGATGAGGATGTAGATCCTCATCTGAATGTGGATCAGAATTACTACAATAATGGTAATCATTTGGGAATTGATTATATTCTAATAAAACTCGCTTTTAATATAGTTTGCCATGATTTTGATGATAATATACAAACAGGGAAAATCCTCTGTCTTTAATTTCAGGAAGCTGACAGGGATTGAATTAGTTGGATGCTGATGTGGTATATAAAGTAGATACAGTCTTTGAATTCAGTGGTCTGCTTCTGGAAAAAGGCAAGAAACTATAGTGTTGAGCAGTACATGTAGGAGAGGATGAATGCCTGTCACAGATTTAATAATTGAAGGGAGATTTTTAATTCTACTTTACTTTTGAGATGATATTAAATACTTATTCCCCCCACAGACATTTTATCTTACAAAACATCTCTGATGCAGATTGCTGCATTAGATATTTGAATCTTTTCACAAAAACAGTACTTTTATTTTGGACCTAGTTTGTATGATTTTTTTTTAATGAGAAGAGAGATGTGCTGTAACATATTAGAAGTTTTACCAGTCATTTTGCTGATATTTGATCACAATCTAGTTCCTTTTTTTGATCCTTGTGTATGTTTAAACTTAATTATCCAGCTACTTAAATTTATGTTCTTACGATTTTCTATTTGCAGATATATTTTTATGAATATAATGAACTTTCAAAACCTGTAGATAAGCCTAGGCAATGTCTTCCATATGCTGTAATACATGTAAAATCTGTTAATCAGAAGAGAGAGGCTGATTCCTTTGTAACATCTTTGAAGTGTAGACTTAAAAGGTTACCCAAGCATACAGGTAAGTTTCTTTTTCTTGTGCTTTTATATTAATTTTATTGTATTCCTCCTTATTTCTGCCCAGCTTCACATGTTATAGGTCCATTGTTTTAAGCTACACCTTGTTCTTGGCTTAACTTCATATCTATGACTCCCTGATCTGGGATGCAAAAACACTAGATCAGTGTTTTTCAAACTTGGCCACTTTAAGCTGTGTGGACTTCATGCTGGCTGGGGAATTCTGAGAACTGAAGTCCGCACAGCTTAAAGCGGCCAAGGTTGAGGAACACTGGTCTAGGATATCAAAAAATAAAACAAAGGCAAGGGAGGTGAAGACCTAGCTGCATTCCTTCATGATTAGACACCCCATGGACCTCGAGATGGCAACTGAGCAGGAAGGGTTAACAGACGGATCGAGATAACAGGAAATGAGATGAGCAGCAGGAAACCTGCAGCTCTAGAACTACTGCCAAAGTGATACAATAAAAGTACATTCACAGCAGAAATGTGGTCTGGTCTTCTTGAGAGTGGCAAGACTGCAACTGGGCCGGAAGCAAGCAAGTAAAACAAAGGCAGGGAACACAACTGCTCAACTTCATGGTGGTGCCCCAAATCTTGGAGATGAAAATGGGATACGTGACATAGCCGTCAAGTGCGCTAAGCATTATGATGATAATCATTACAAATAACACTGTTAAAAGGAAAAACGGCCCTCAAATAAATGGCAATTCATCCACAATTCCTCTTCTCTGCTTGTTGGGGTGTGTGCATATGTATGTACTGTGTACGTGTGTAGATTTGTACGTATCTGTGGATGCATGTAAATGTGTGTATACAAGAGTTTGTGTGTGTATGTGTGTGTGGAGGGGGGAGTGTGTGTGTGTACAGTGTGTGTGTGTGTGTATATATATATATACACACACACACACACACACATATATATATACTGTATGTGTGTATGTGTGTATGTGTATATATATATACACACACACACAGTCTGTTGTCCTCTTTAATTAGCCAAATGAGAACACTTGAGCAGTTTTTACTTAATTCCTCTTTTGTAAGTGGCAATTAGCAAAAGGATAATGAAGGGGAAAAATGCAAGGGCAGCTTTTCTTGGTAATTTTAGACCAGAGAATACTATGGCTCAGCCAAGATATCTCTAGACTTCACCATCACTGCGCATGGACAATTCTTCCCAGAGGTACCATCCGAAAGGGGATGTTATTCGAAGAGTATCCTCATGTCTCTTGGACAGTGCAGTTCCAGTCTGGCAAACTTTCTGAATCAACTGCCTTGGTCATCAACTATGACAATGCTCATGATCGAAAGACCAAGGTAATATCGCTGTAGACCCACACTGCAGGGCTTTCATCACACTGTGGAAAAAGATGTATTGGCATTTAACAGTAACAACTGTAGGTTTTGTTTCCACCCATACAATCATGATTGCCTTGAGTATTTCTCTTTGTTGCTTTTCGCAAGGCAGAAAAGACAGCTTCCACTACGTATTTGCCTGCATAAAACACAGTGGGGCTGGGACCTTACACTGCTTTGAAGTAGCTCTTAATAAACCATTCGCTATATTCAAAGATTAGCAGCAGAAATGAGGCCAAGCGCTGAAAACCAAGAGGGAAAAGGGAAGGAAAAATCAAGAAGAAGAAAAGGGGAAAGGAGATTCTTTTTCCTTCTTTTGGAAGGACTTGCATTTAAAGACTGCAGAGTGGCGGTAGGATTATGCAGTCTGTTTGTGTTCATCAAAAGAATCCAGGGCCAAATTTCTCCCTTGCAACAGGCAAAGGGAAATACCTTCTAGTCATTGTGTATGTCTATGTTTGTGTGTCAGAAGGGAAGAAAGAGAGAGACTATATGACTTGGAGAAGCATTTCATTGAACGATGGAACAGAAACCCTATATATGTAGCAACAATTAGCATCATCTTAGCAATGTGTAACACCAGTTGTCTTGGACAGATTGTGCCTTTCCTCTGCTCTTTCTTGTTGTTGGGGTTTTTTTAAAAAAAAAATCTTGTCAAGAGGTGTTTATGACTTGTGTGCCTCCACTTTTAGACAATGAAAGAAAGAAGTACCAGCCATAGTCAAGCTGGCTGTATATTTATACCAACAGATTGCTTGCATTCCAACCATATGCGCTGTCTGCCACCATTTCATAAGCCTGAAGGAAAAAAAAAAGCCAGCGTAAAACTGGAAATTGCCTAGAAAACTAGCAGTGGATAATGCTGGAGATGGTTCCCAGTCCAGCCAGATTGCTCTGCTCCCCTCTGCTGTAGTTACGTTTTTTTTTTTT